TTTTTTCTTTCTTTCTTTGCAGTTTGAAAAAGAGTTTACCGACCACCAAGAAACTCAGGCTCAATTGCAGAAAAAAGAAGCAAAGATTAATGAACTTCAAGCAGAGTTACAAGCTTTTAAGTCACAGGTAAAATACCATCTACCTGGATTGAATTTGGCTATTGAAAGCTTACTGTGGAAGCAAAGGTCATGTCACAGCTTCATAGTTCAAAATGTTTAAACTTTAATTTCACTTGTATGTTTTCATAGTGTTGTTTTTCTACATATTTTTGCTCTGTAAATTAAAATTATTTTCCCACTGTTTTTTCTAGTTGCATTTTTAAAAATGTCATCAATTTTTACTAATTAATCTTCTTCCTTTTGTTTCATGTGGGTTTTGTTCCTACGTCATACGTTTCATATATAATCATAAAGGGTGAGAAAGACTTTTACTCTTAGATTTGTCATTCATCACTGATCTTTATCCCACTACAGGAAATTATTGCTCAAGCTATTTATTTTTCAAAACCTTCAGCCTATGGGTACCTTGCAGTGAAAGATAACCTCTAGCTGAATGAGAACATTTTCTGATAATTTTTCAATTTCCAAAAGTAAACAGATTTAAAACATGACAAAAAAGAGAGCAAATCTGGATTATGAAGCAGATAGCTCACATACACCCTCTACACATAAAACATTTAGATAGAAAGAAATACATCATCTGCATGTTTTAAATGGATGACAGTAAGGAGGTAGAATATTCATAGCTAAATTTCTTCATGCAGATTTACATATAGGATGATGAGTAGTAAGTATAGTTTTGCTATTTTCTTTTCATCCTAATTTATGGTTATATCGAAATAGTCTCAGATGTACCATTTCCTATATGGTATGCTATTTCCTATATTATTGGCTATTTTGTTTTCTCTTAAATACTTAGTGGGTAATTTTGTTATGGAGGCTATAAGAAGAAACCCTAAGAGATAGCTATCTCTTAAGTGTTCAATTTTAGGGGGAAAAAAAAAAGCTCTTATCTGTAAGAAAATCATTCTCAATGATCTTTCTTTAGTGTTTAAGAAGGAAGTACAATTTATTGAAACTTTTCATCTTTCCTGTGTGGCTCCTTGTCTCTCATACTAAAAAGTAACATTTGATTGTGTTTTACATTTCAGATTGAGTTATAGACCATGGCTGAGATTCTTAGGTCCAGTTTCACCTTGTCTGGGCCAATATGAATTTTAAAAATATTTCTTTTTCATTTCTTCTAGTTTAAGGATTACTTGTAAATCCAATCTAAAGAATTCCTGTTTATACAAAAAGAAAATATCTGCCATCTTTGGACATGTTACTGCTGCCTATGTTTTATATTAAGATGGGAATAAATTGTTTTAAAATGAGATTAACTCCAGCAATATCCTATATTTTTTCAAAATGTGGACAAGGTGACTATTTATGGCTGTCAGAAGCAAGCCAACAGCTTAGACACTTAGTATTGGCAGCCATGTTAATTTTTGAAGAATAACTGGGTATTTCTTTTTCCGAGAGATTAGTCGTGTATTTCTCATGAAATCTAATCATTTGTCTTAAGATCCTTTGCTTTGCTCAAAGCTATACTGATTATGAAGAGTCTGAATAAAATATATTCTGTGTGATTTTATTCCTTTATTCACGTAACAGCCAAGTATTGTCGGGTGCTGGGGATATAATGGTGAGCAGGTTGATCACAGGATAATCTGGCTTCATGAACAATATATTTAAGTCAACCATGCTACATCGAAGGAATTAGTATAGAAGAGAAATGCAGCCATATCTTTAAGGCATTAATAGTTAACTATAACATGTATATTGAATGTGAGTATAAAATACCTACACCTCATTAACATTCAGAGGGCACTACTATCCATGTTAACGGCAATGCAGCATAATGCTGAATTGATTCTTCTTTATAATTAATGTTTTTGTTAAGATATGTTCTTTGATTTGTGGTTTCAACTTTTTTCTTCGTGCTGATCTCATGTGTCAACTTTAGGCTTTAATACATGATCTATTTTTATAATTGTGCCATAAAACTTTTAAAATGATTTATTAATGTTTATTAAATGCCCCCACTTGCAGGTGTGTGTGTGTGTGTGTGTGTGTGTGTGTGTGTGTGTGAGAGAGAGAGAGAGAGAGAATTGAAATCAGTGATTATAGGAAAATAATCATATCACAAAACATTAACTCAGATCTTCTTTAAAATAATCAAAAAGAGGGGCACCTGGGTGGCGCAGTCGGTTAAGCGTCCGACTTCAGCCAGGTCACGATCTCGCGGTCCGTGAGTTCGAGCCCCGCGTCAGGCTCTGGGCTGATGGCTCGGAGCCTGGAGCCTGTTTCCGATTCTGTGTCTCCCTCTCTCTCTGCCCCTCCCCCGTTCATGCTCTGTCTCTCTCTGTCCCAAAAATAAAAAAAAAATAAAAATAAAAAAAAAATAAAATAATCAAAAAGTGTATATTCTTACCATGCCATTGAAACATAAGGCCAGAAGTGACCAGTGGCCACATTTTGCCCTTTTTCTCTCCTGATTTTGCTTTGCTTTTTTGTGACACCCCCTCCCTCACTGTCTTCACTTCACTCTGATTCATGAACCTGCGCTTGTCTGTTTTTTTCTCTTATCTTTAATTCATTCATCCAACATGTATGTATTTCTTCAATGGCTGTCATTTGCCAGCTGCTGCTTTAGGTGCTGGGAAAGAGTGGTAAATTATACAGACTTAGTAACTGCCCTCATGGAGCTTATAATGTATCAGTGAGATAAATGCTAATGATTTCTTAAGCATTTGACACTTTGATAATAAGGAGAAGCACAAAGTGCTATCTGTATAAAAGGAGTGGTCAGATGAGGCTTCCTGAGGAAAGGACTTGCTAGCTAAGATTGAAAGGATCTACAGGAGGTAACCACATGCCAAGAAAGTTCCAGGCAGAAGGGATTGCATGTGCAAGGGCCCTGAGAGAGGTATGTGGTTGGCAAATATGTGAAATTGTACATGACAGCCACTTGAAAGGCCAGTTCACAAGGATCATGATGTGCCCTGCAGGTTGTCCTTAGGAATTTCTGATTTTTTTTCCTCAAGATAAAGGCATGATGTGACAATGCTATTTAAGTCTCTCTGGGTCTTCTTCTTGTTTTGCTTCTCGTTTAAATGCCAGTATTCCATAGAATTCTGTACATAGACTTTATGCTACATGCTCTGTACATACTCTGGGTGAACTTACCTATTCTCAGTAAGTTGAACTATCACCTAGAAACCGCTGTTTCAAATCTTCTAGACCCATTTCCTCCCAGGACATCTCCACCTGGATGGCCATAACTACCAAAATAGGAAATAATATTTCTGGCAATTACACTTCTATGAAAACAGAAGCTAAATTCTTGAATTGGAAAAAGAAAAAAACTATTGGGATTGTGTTTTTTTTAGGTCAAGCCATGTGAAATTGCTCATCCTGAATTGTCTTTGGTGTAAAATAATTTTTGAGGCAAGTGTACTTTGACATGTTTGGTAGATGTTTTTAGTCATATTTCTTTTCTTTTTTTCCCTTCCCCTCTAGTTTGGTGCGTTGCCTGCCGATACAAGTAACTCTTCGCCACTGGCAGAAGAAAATGGATCCGGCCTCCCAGCACTTGCTCCTTCCCTGCCGATGCCCTCCTGTGGAGGAGTGCCTCCTCCCCCTCCTCCCCCACCCCCTCCTCCCCTTCCAGGAATGCCCTTGCCCTTTGGTGGTCCTGTGCCTCCACCGCCTCCCCTGGGATTTCTCAGTGGGCGAAACTCTCCTCCTCCACCAACCCTACCTTTTGGGTTAAAACCAAAGAAAGAATTTAAGCCCGAAACCAGCATGAGAAGATTGAATTGGTTAAAGGTAAAACAAATAAATGGAAGAGACATACTGTCGCCTAGATAAAAATTTAACTTTATATTTAATTTCCAGTGGAAATCCTAATCAGAGTGTCATTCAATAGATAAGTGTTATTTGAATTAAATAAAAGTATTGAAACAAAGCCTTTTTCTCTTGACTGAGGCTTTCTGGTTTAGAAATTTGGTGAGAGTTGATGGTTGTTACAATGGGATTTGGTTTGTGATTAAGCTGATAATTCAACATTATCATCATTGAACATGAAGTGTTTCTCACAAGAACAAAAATAAGTTAGTGTTCGTATGAACTTATCTATGTTGATAGCCATTGGAAAAATTAATACATGTTGTCAAAAGTTGGTAATTAGGACACAGAAATCCTGAATCCTGGAGATAGATGGTTTCATGGTCACATAACCTTGGGAAATGATGTGTGATATATCCTGCACTTGAATTATTGCCGTGAACATGAGCCGTATTCAAGACCCTGAGAGGTATAATTAAGAAAGAACAAGTTTTATTTCACTCTGCTTCAAACCATCAACTATCTGATAGTGGAAACTTTTTTTTTTTTTTAATAAAACCTTAGCTTCCGGAGGAACTTGTATTTTATTGCACGCACTTTGGGGAAAAATATTAAGGGATTACTTCATAAACATCTGCTGGCAGCTATGGGACATTGGGTATGAACGTAGTGATTGTGCGGGGACAGATGAAACACCCAACTATTTATGAATCTATCTCTCTGATTGCAGATCAGACCTCATGAAATGACTGAAAACTGTTTCTGGGTTAAAGCAAATGAAAATAAGTATGAAAATGTGGATTTGCTTTGTAAACTTGAGAATACGTTTTGTTGCCAACAAAAAGGTAAGTTGAACATCATGCTTATTTGCTTATTTTAATATCATGCTTATTTTAATATGTTAACATTGCCACTTTTTCTGTATTAACTTTTACAGAGCATTGTTTGAAGAGTGCTATATGTGATATTTTTACTTCATTAGTGGGTAAATAAATTAATGGGAAAAAATTTTAAAATACCAATTTTGTTGTGAGTATAGGATAAGCAGTCTTGAAAATGCAAGTGTTTAATACGTAACTTTGTCAAATTTTTGGTATGATATATTTTTTGAAGATGTTCTTAATTGGGTTTTCATAAAGGAGGATATTTTCAGAGAGAACTTTGGCATGAGAATTCCTTTGAGTCAATGGGAAATAGAAAAACAAACGGAATGTGAGCCTTCTTCTAGCCAGCACTTTACCACCCTTTAATATACTATGACAGTCACAATAATTAGTATGAGTCACATGGGATAGAAATACCAAATTTATAGAGTACCTTGAAAGCTTAAAATAGAAGTACATGAGTAGGTTATATGAACTTTTTGTTAAAAGCAATTAGTGTTCATTTCCGAATTGTTTCGTGATAGCTTTTACCTGCTTGGTGTGATGATGATGAATATTTTTAAATAATTTTATTCAAACATTGTTCTTATCTGAAAATTGGGTTTCTACTGTATATGTTTCAGGGTTGATATTGACTTAAGCTAGTAGGTTAATTTTTAAGTTATGTAATGCTTACATTTTAGGTCTATGTTACAAGCTACTTGGATCAGTGATTACATTTTAATTTTCAAGAAGGAACCCTTTTCACCATAGACCTATGCCACTTACAACCCTGGGCTCATTGAACACAGAGAGCTGTAGAAGAGAGATTTTACTCCAGCTGGAGATGGGAAGGGTTGCTATATACAGGGAAGAATTAACTTCTTAAAATACCTACTACGTATTAGGCAATATGCTGTATATCTGATTTAACTTGACAGTCGCAGCAATGAAAGGATTTTGGCAGATACCCCTCCCACCCCAAATCATTTGCATTCCTTTGAAATGCTTTGTAAAATATAACTGTAAATTAGACTCTCTCTCTAAAAAGTAAGTTAGAACTCTAAAAGGTAGTTGTAAATTAAGGTGGCTTTCCAGAATTTGTGCTAAATCCAAAGCCTTCAGCAGATATTTTTGGGCACTGTTCGTGACTAAAATAGTAAAAATGATATATTTTGATCTTTGAAAACAGGGGGAATTTTCTCAGCAAGCTTATCCTAGGAAAACTTGTGAAGTAAGCAGATCTTAATTTTACCTTTTGATTATGGAGAATGAAAATTTTCTTTGAATAAGATTAGTACACTCTTCAGGCAATCAAGGAAAATATATGGCAGTTAAAATGTGTATTTACATGTAAAACACTTCAGAATTTCAGATTTCATAATCTGGAATTGATTAGTTTTCCCTTTGCTTTCCTAGTAGGGTACAAACGGTGGTACCTTAAAGCTATTTAAGTAATACTGCCATCCAGCTACTGTCTCTCTCTTTTTTTTCCTCTTTACTCTGATTACTTTCTTAATTAATGAGGCTCAAAAGGGAAACTTGTTAGCATGTCTTTAATTTAGCTGTAGTGTTAGCCCTAAATGAAATAATTGGACCTTTAAAAAATTCTTAAGTCATCTAACTTTAGCCTTGAGATTCAAGGTTGAAAAAAAACAACAATGTATTTGCTCAATCAAGTATTAGTTATGAAGTTTAAGGTGAGGAAATGGTGATCCTTGTCTGAGTATTCCGTACTTCTATCTGTCTCTGCCTTTGTACGTGCCGTCCCCTCTGTCCAGAGTCTCTCATTTGACTTACAGACTGGCAGAGGCCCACGACTTCTCTTGTCTCAGCTCAACTGCTACCTTCTTTCTTCTGTGACAGTGGATGATACCTCCATGGTGATCAGAAAAGATGGGGATACCCGAGGTTGTCATCCTGGGCAATGCCAATCTTTCACAATGCCAATAGGAAACAAGCTGTGAAGGTGACTATTTTTTGATCTGGATTTTAAAGAATAATTCCTGGAAAACATTATTCAGGGAGCCTTAAGAATACATTTTAGCATTACCAGTAGTTAAGTATTTTATTGGAAAACAAAATTGCTGCTTTCAGAAAAGCAGGATTTCCTATAGATACTTTGTAGAGAAGATCAGAAAGGAAGGCAAGAGGAAGGTATCTGAAAAGCTTACCGGAGACCAAGGGGTGGTGGTGGAGTGGACACGTTGCTCCTTGTCTCTTTATTTGTGGCCTGGCCACTGAGGCAGTAGGTCCAAATCTTCACTTCTGCCTTTCTCCTTTCTCCCATGACTCCAAAGGTTACTTTAACTTCAGTTTTTAATTTCTGCAGAATTCAAAATTGAACCTAGTCACGAATTATTCAGTCCATGGTGGCGATACAGTGACCCTCTGCTCCCTAGCCAGCAGGGGGAGGTAGAGGCATCGCCTCCTGGTTGATTTTCCATCATTGGTTCTTGTCAGGACTTGGAAGGGAAGGACACAGGATTCCCATTACTGGGTTTTTAGGGAAATAATGTATCTGTTTTTCATTGCAGTAATTCTTTTGTCTAAGAACCAGGGCATTTTGTGACAATATGGATGGACCTCTAGGTCATTATGCTAAGTGAAATCAATCAGGTGGGGAAAGACAAATACTGTATGATTTCTCTTATATGTGGAATCCAAAACAATGAAAAAAGCAAACCAAGCTCATAGATAGAACAGAATGGTGGTTGCCAGAGATGGGGGTGGGGGAAATGGGGAGGAGGGGTAGAAATTTATTACATAAACAAAAAACCCAGAGCTATTTCTCTGATTACAAAGGTGGATGTTCCATCCCAGGAATTTAAAATGGTAAAGGCCAATCATTGGTGTGCCCTAAACATTTGAAATAGGTGGAAAGAAAAATAAGGAACTGAATTTCATAATTTACCCTCTAATTCTACCTATTCTAATCACATACTCTGTATTTTTTGTTATTATGTCTCCCCACCCCCCCCCCCAACCCCCCTTAAGGAAGACGCTGCTTTGGGTTTTACTGACTTTCAAGTTAAGATGATTGGGTTTTAGTGGTCTTATACCCTGAAAGTTGGAAAAAGGAAGAGGGCCTAACAATACCAGTGGAGCACCTGTGGTTGTACCACTCCCTGAGCTGGGCCGTCTTCATGTGACCTTGTTTAAATCATGACCACATCTCTGCTGAGATTTTTCTCCTGCCCAACGATGCTAAGTCCCCAGAATACCACCCTGCCCCACTTGCCGATAGACATAGCAAGATATTCTAGGCATGAGCTTGGATATTTCGTCTTTACTCATGTTATTCTTTATTATATCTTTTTTTCCCTCCCAGTTAAATTTGTATTTTAAACTAACTTCCCTGTTACGTCTAGACATTGCTTTATTAGGAAAGTGCCCGTGTCCTGTCTTAAGGAGTACAGGAAACTCAGCCTCTTCCTACGAAATCAGTATGTTTCCTTGATCCCGTTGTATCATTTTTTTCTTTGATTCCTTTATTTGGCTATCAAGTATCGCTTTGGTTTCCTTGCCTTTCTCAGTTCTAACCTGTCTAAATTTTTGAGTTACATCTCAGCTTTCCATATTTTAAATTCTCCTGAAAATAACATGTAGGCATTTTTCCTGGCCGTATTTTTCTTTTTCTCATTCTCCCTCATTCCTTTCTCCTGTGTTTGGCTGTCACTGTTCAAGGCAGCCAATATTTATTGGGTGTGCACTGTATGTTAGGCCTTGTGTTTGGCACTGGGGACGCTGTAGAGATAAAGCAGTTGTGTGCACGTCCATGTGTTGTTTTCTCAACCCCAGTGAAACTCCATCAAGCTCTCAGTCAAGTTGAAGCACAAGAATGAGGAGTGGAACAACAGATGCTGATTTTTGATTCAGAAAGGAGGATTGCCATGTTTTACTGTCTTGGGCTCCTGTTAAGACTTAACAAGATTATAAAAGAAAAGTGTTTATATATCTCTTTGAGGTTTAATCACAATATTCATATATTGAACATTTGGTATCATCAAAATAATGCTAATGATCTGTGTATTTTTTTACCAGATTGGAAGCATCTGCTGGTTAATTTTTACAGGCTGTTGGAAAATGGATTAAAGTATTCTAACAGGTTATTGGTGTTGGATTTATCAACTAAAATTAATATTAATTACTTTCATTATTCACAAACTGTTAACTTAATAGGGATTAAAGGGTTTTCTGAAAGTATATGAATAGTCTAATTCACTTAGACTGATTTATGATAAAAATGTGATTCCACAATTGTTAGCTTTCTGAAGTAATCACATTTTAGAACAGGTGCATCATATTTGCCAGATAGGGCCAATAAACTGGTTTAGAAATAATTTATCAACTGAGCAGTTATGGCATATGGAAACAGTTAATGGATTATGTACTTACAAACAAACCAAGCCAAGATTTCTGACATCATAGTTCAGTGGACAAAGTATTGGGGTAGGGAGTGATAAACCATGGATTATCTCAGGGACTTGGCTGTGTTATGTCGCTTTGTATTTGAAACACAATTTATTCCTCTGTCTGAAAAAAAGTGTATTAAAAAAATCCTAAACTACCTACATTAAGATGAATAATATATAGTAGAGAAATGCTTTTCATGAATGTGTGTTAATAAAGAGATGACGAATGCACCATATCTTAAAGGTTTCTGAAAAGACATTTGACAAACACTTGTTTGGAAAGATGGAGGAGGAAATCAGTGATGAATTAAATATTTCCCTAGGGATTTATCCTTTGGTTCTTGTCTGTGTCTGAATCTGAAAAGAACTAAAGATTTAAGGAAATGATAGGGCCTGTCAGGAATGTCTTGTTTCACCCTTAGAAAGTATCTTTTTGTTACCAATTATTTGTATTTTGTGTTGGGTTACGGAAGAAACAGAAATTTATTCTGAAAGGTTTAAAGAAACAGAACTTAGAGAAAAGGGCTGAAGAGAGTAGGTTTGTTTATTAGCCAGGAGCTACAGGCG